GTTCTCAACTTCGGTTATGGCCGTTCAAAAAGATGTCGGCTCGTTTATGAAAGACTTGAACATCATTCCGGACATTCCAAATGATCTCCAATGTGTCATGTGTCCTTATAAGGCAACTATGAAGGCCAACTTGAAAAGACACGTACAGTTGAAACATTTAGGCGGAGTGGGAATTTCAGCTACGTGCACCATGTGTGAACAGAAGTTTGCAACTAGAGGCAGTCTGAAACGACACATGATGTCAGCGCACAATTTAAACAGTGAACAAGCTAGTAAATTGATGTCTTGATTGATGTGTTAGGCGTATGTTTTAGTGGTAGTCCACTAAACCGATGTATCAGTAAACTGAAAATGGGCGGACCAAATCAGAAATTAGAAATTTAAGTTATTGATCAGTAAGCCGAAATTGACGTGCAGTCAAATAAAATTTTGAAATTGAAATTATGCAATTTGTTAAGTGAATGTTGCATAATCCATCGCTAATTGTTTGGTAGCTTGATTTACTGGTCGGGTAAACTACTGATACACTGAATGAATGATTGCAATCGTGGGTTTTGAGCTAAATTACTTAAGTTGATGAGGTCATGTATTAGCGATAAGTTAGCCATAAATATTTTCTCGAAAGATGTTCATTTGTAAGTTTTGAACTTCCTAGATATAATTCCATTTTGATACTTTTTGTACTTGCCTTCGAAAAGAATTTGTTGTTCTATCTTCGCATTAATTAATGCTTGTTAATCCTTGCTTTCGAACTGTATTTATTTTTAGACACTCAAAATATTATAGGCGAATATGTCGGAACTTGAGTCTTCGAGAGTATCAATTAATGTCAACTCTGATCTTTTGATGCCATTTCAACAGAGTTCAGATATGATTTTCTGTGAAATTGTTCAGATGGACAGGCAACACTCTGCCGGTATTTTTTCATTCCAAAACGTCTTCTCGGGTAGCATGCCGATTTCAAATCTTGTAGTTAACAATTCTAGTAAAAGACATTTTAATTAGACGAATACTTCGGCAATTATTGAAAGGACAAAGCAAGATGTTGCCATGATTCCGCCAACTTCGAGCAAAATAATGTCGGAAATATTTTAAAGAATTTGAAAATTATGCCTGAGATTCCGATCGATCTTCAATGTGCATTGTGTGCTTAGAAAGCGAACTACAAAAGCCATTTGAAGACTCATCGGCTGAAACATTAAGGCGTTGTAGGCTGTTCGGCTATTTGCACCATGTGTGAAGAGAAGTTTGCAACTGGAGGCAGTCTGAAACGGCACATAATATTGGCACATAAATTAGACAGTGAACAAGCGTCTAAATTGATGTCATAGAAGATCATCGTCATCAGGAAAATAGTTTAAAATTACTCATAGATTTACCATCAGTGATAGATTGTTGTCAGAACGCACTTATAAAAAAACGCACTTATATCAGTCAGAACGCACTTATATAAGTTAGTAGATTTAAAAAAAGTAAATGATTTTCCTTGCAAGCTTCCAAAATTCCAGTTTATGGATTTAAAAAAGTACATGATCCGAATTTCTCTTCACAAGTTGTTAACACGCCGAAAAAAGTTGAGTAATTTTAAGTACAAACGTTTTTGTAGCTTATTTTCTATTTTGATAGTCGAACCGGATATTATTTTAGCAGATTCCAATTTCAATCTCTTCATGCAAATTATTTTAGGATTTTTAGGTTGGAACTGATATCAAAATGAACTTGATCAGAGTATCGATTTCTGTCGAGCAGTCTGCGCTGAATCCGCTTCTATCTGAAACATTCCAATGTGACTTTTTCGACATAAACTTGGGGACGAAAACCGGATCCATTTGCTTTGAACAAATTACCCAATCCGAAGAATACAAGTCGGAGTTTGAAAAACAAAAATCAATTCAAACCCTGAAGCGTCCGATTGTAAATAATGATCATTGTTTGGCCAAGGCAAAGGTCTCGAAGCTTTCAAGGAATGTGAAAGATCCAAATTCACCACGTCACAATATACATCAAATTTTTAAAGAAATGAACATTCTTCCCGAACTCCCAAATGGCCTTCAGTGTGCTTTATGTCCATATAAGGCAACTCAGAAAGGAAATCTGAAAGTTCATTACCAAATGAAACATCTGGGCGGAGTTGGAATTTCTGAAATATGCACAATTTGCAAACAGACGTGTGCCAACAGAAGCAGTCTTAAGAGACATATGATGAAAACACACAATCTGACTAGTGAGCAATCGGCCAAGTTAGTGAGCAATCGGTGAGCAAGCTAGTGAGCAATCGGTGCTAGAGATCAATAGTCCGGTGTCCGCACAGGTCGTTTCTTCCCATGCCTTGTTTATGATACTTTTACCTCAAACATATTATATATATTTAAATGCAGGCTTCGCTATCTCGCCATGGTTAAGCTTTTTCAACGTATTATTTTTTCATGTTTAACGAAAGAATTTTTGCACTTTTAAGCTATATCGTATATTGCAATGGTTAAGATTTTTTTTTAATTTTTCAGCAGTGGGAGGCTGTTAGAGTTACCCTAGGTGTTGCAAACTGGGCCTCCAAATAAAAGTACCCAAATCTTTTTAGTTTACGAGATACAAAGATTCTTGTGATTTTTTCGAAAATTTTTATTTAACTTCCTCGAAAATTGAATTTCTCAGCCCTGTAGTTAGGTGTTGTCAAGGTTTTCTCAAAGATTGCAAATCTTGCCTCAAAATTTGACTGCTCAAATCCTTTTAGTTTGCGAGATATGGCGTTTTTTTTTTTGAGTTTTTCTAAAATTTTCAAAGAACTTATATAAAATTTTGACAAAAAGTGGAATTCTCAACTCTATGATGTAAGTTACTCTCAGAGTAACTTCAGGCGTTGCAGTTTGTGCATTCAAATATGATCGCTCAAATCTTTTAAGTTTCCGAGATTTGATGTTTTTTTTTTTTAAATTTTCAAAAAAACTTATGATGATTTCAAAAAAAAATTCTCTAAGAAATTATATTACGATGTGACAAAAGTTTGATATCTCAACCCAGTAATAGGGTGCTGCCAGGGTACTCTCAGGGGTTCCAAATCTTGCCTCAAAGTTTGACTGCTCAGATCCTTTTACTTACCGAGATATGGCGTTTTTTAAGATTTTTTTATCACATAACTTGGATATAAAAAACTCAACAAAAGTTGATATTATCAACTCTATAGTGTCAGTTTCTGTGAGGGTACTCTCCGACATTGCAAATCGTCACTCCAAGCGTGACTGTTGAAATCATTTTTTTTTTCTGAGACATGATGTTTTTTCAATAATTCATAAAATTTTTCAAAATACCTGATTTGAAAAAACTTTACTAAATTTTTAATTACCAACCCTATAATGGAGTGATCTCATAGTTTTTCAGAGGTTGCAATTGTTTTTTTAAAAGTTTTTGACTGCTTTAATAATCTTTGTTTGCGAGATATTCCATTTTTGATGAATTTTCAAAACTTTAAGTTTGAACTTCTCAAAATTTTGATGGGGTGTGTCGAGGTACTCTCGGGAAGTATTTATATGGACTCTGAAGATGACTACTCAACGCATTTCACGTTCCTATATATGAATTCTGATATATATGAATTATGAACGTTCCTAGAGTTGAATTATGAATCACTTTTAAGTTCCAAAAAGTTTTTTTTTCAAAATTTGAAATTGTCGACTCGTTGGTGGGCTGAAATCAGTTTACTACCGGCAGTTTCAGATGTGGCCTACACTGTATTTTATTGCGCGTTTATTCAAGTTAATGAAGTTGACGTTTTTTAATGTTATTTCAAAAATTTCCATTTAACTATCAGTTCAACTAGGAAAAAAAATCTGCTGTTGTAAATAAAAAAGAATTAAGTTCAACTGGCGTTCCATTCATGAATTCAGTGATTTTGCCAACGAAATTGTTAAATATGGAATGCTGTTCACTTAAATGCTGTCAGCCATTCTGAAACCCAGTAGCTTCAGAGATTTTAGTTTAAAAACCATTTTAGTTTAAAAACCTTTCAGTTGAATTTTTTTGTTCCATTTTTAAATGAAAAGCGTTGTTTGATGCGCTCGTGTCTTTTTACGGTTGCATTCCGTTCGTTGTTTTTCAAATTCGT